ATACTTTCCCGATTATTTTGGCGTTTGAACATACAATATGAATTCCGGATTTGTTTTCATTCACAACTCAGAGTCGCTGCCTCGAGTAAGATTTTTGTGTGATATCTACAGGCAATATCTGGTCCCATTTCACTTTGATTATCCTGTCAAACAAGTCAGCCTTCGCCCCTGCTCTCTCTCTTTCTCTCTCTTTCTTCGCTCCTCTTTTTTTTTTACTTTCCCTCTCCCTCTCTGTTTTACCTTTTTCTCTCTCTATCTTACTCTCCCAGGCCCACCCCACCACCTTCGTGCGGTGCACGGTGCCGCGAAGAGAGAGAGGAGGGGCATTATTATTTTTGTCGTGTCCTTGCAGTTGCAGTTGACGCAAGTTCCTGAAAAAAAAATGGGAGGATGAATTTCCTTGGTTATATAAGTAGATGGCAACTGATGGCAGTGATAAAGCATTTTGCAGGCAATAGAATCTAAGTATGATACGTTTTCCTTGATATAAGATTTGCTATTATATAATGCTGTAATTGGTTTGGCACTTTAACTTAGATCTAGTCGCATTTGGCAGATTTTGTTTGTCGATTTGGCCGGAAGCCTGGAAACTGGAAATAATCTGGCAACCCTGGTTTGGGGAGTGAGAAACTGAAACAAGAAGCAAGCAGCAAAGTAGAGCGTTTGTAACGCGTTGCAATTTAACACATTGATCTAGATTTCTATTTGAATTAGAATCTAGATCTAGTTGAGAAAAGAAGACGCTAACCATCTTGTTCTAATATATTTTATGATGGCAGACAAACGAGAGTCGGGTATGATTGTTGTTGTACCGTAAAAATGTCGACGAATTATAAACATGTTCCAAAAAATCAATCAATGAAATGTGTACATCAATGATCAATAGAATAGAATAGAAGATCTAGATTATCTAGACTAGATCTAGTCTAGATCTATCTAGATCTAGATTTCTAGATCTCTATGGAGGTTATTCTAGATCTAGATCTACTGGAAAGATCTCCCAACTATTTACAAACCCCACCTGCCAAAACA